TAGTATTCTATCATATGACTATATCTCATTTTGTCTATATTCACTAGTTGTATGTTTAGGTTGTTTCCAATGGACACTTAGGTTATTTCCAATTTTTGATTATTATGAGTAATCCTGCTAAGAGTATGTGCAAGTCTTTGTGTGGACATATGTTTTCGTTTCTCTTAAGCAGATACCTAGGAATGGAATTTCTGGGTCTTTTGGTAAATTTATGTTTAACTTTTTAAGAAACTGCCAAGCTGTTTCCAAAGCATCTGTACCATTTTACATTCCCATCAGCCACGTTTGAGGGTTGTTTTTTTCCATATCCTCGCCCACATTTGACTCTCTGTTTTATAATAGCCATCCTAGTGGGTGTGAAATGCTATCTCATTGTGGTTTTAATTTGCATTTCCCTAATGACTAGTGATGTTGAGCATCTTTTCATGGGCTTTTTTTTTTTTTTGCCTCGATTTCTCACATACAACCCTAAAATCATCCCCAAGAAAGAGCACAACCCTTAAGCTCCAAAAAATCTGGACTCAAATCCCACCCCTGCCACTTGCAGGCAGTGAGGAATTAGGTTTGTTACACCAGCTCTTTAAAGTCACCTTAAGCTTCCAAGTCATTATCTTCCAAGTGATAGTTTGACTGTGAGGATTACATAAGATGATGTTTTTGAAGTGCCCAGCCTGGGGACTGACACGTAGCAGGCACCCCAAACATGTTCATTGTTTCTCCCTGCTCCCCCACCCCAATTTCCAGGACCTATCTTGGAGAAAGGAGCTTTTCCCTAACATGGGACTGGGTATTAAGTGACAGTGGGTGTGGCACCCAAATCTGGAGTGACTGATGGCAAATTCAGGAACCCAACTGCCATTGGATCAGGCTGGATAATCAGGACTAATTCCTCCTGTCCCCGGTGAGAAGGCACTGACAGCTGGCTTCCCTGTCAGCTCCAGGGAGCGCCAGTTACCCGTTATCTGTCTGTGGGCTCAGAGCTCTTCCCTGACCCCTTCAGCTGACAGCAGCTTTCCTGCCGACAGCAGCCACGCCACCGGCTTATCTGTGTGGTGCAGATTAGCCAAAGTCAAACTTGGCATCAGTCGAGGGCTTTAAATCTTCAAAGAATTCTCCCATTACCTCTTACTTATTCTCCACTAATTTGAGAGGAAGGTATTTTTGTAATTTTGCTGATGTTAAACCGAAAGCTCTAGATAGCAGCTCACACTTATGGAGTGCTTGCTATGCTATTCCAGAGAGCTTTGTCTGTACTTAGTTTTCCTAGCAACCAGATGAAGTAGATACGGCTCTTCTCTGTTTTACAGATAAAAAAATACTGAGGCAGAGAGAAGTTAAGCTAGTACTTGGCAGAGCTGAGATTCTGAACGCAGGAATCCAGGTCTTTCATCACCGCATCCTTCTCCTGGTCTGTTAAGGGTCCTGCCCATCTTGGAGTATCTATCAAAATGAAGTATGTAAATGTTCTTAGCCAACAATTCCATTTTTTGGTATTCAGCCTAGAGAACCACTTACGTGCCCAAGGAAGAATGTACTAGTATGTTTTTTGAGGAACATTTGTAAGTCTGAAAAATTCCAGCCATGCAATTCATCATCAATACAGGAATAGCCAGATTAAACACGGTATTGCCATTTTATGGGATCCTGATATCATCAAGCATTTAAAAAAAATAATATGGTCCATTATGAGTTGGATTGACATAGTAAGACTGCCAAAACTTGATAAGTAAGGTAAGCCAACTGCATGGCAAGTATGTACAATTTAATGATGTACATACAACAAAATTATATATATCTATTTAGAGGACTATATGCATAAAATGCCAGGAAGGATAGCAAACCCTTCCTCTTGGGAAAGTACTGAGATGGAGGGATAGTGTGCGGGAAAGACTTCATCTTTCTGTATATTTTAAAGAATACCAATGTATGCATTTGAGACTCTGTATGATTAAAGGTAGACAAAATTTTTAAAAAGAAAGCAACTTGGCCTGGACCACACAGCTAAAAAAGAGAACAGAAACGAAAACATGCAAAACTTGTGTTCATTCCAGCTGACAGGTTGTTGCTCCAAAGCTGTCCATGAACCTCACTGTGGCCCCTCTGCTGATTTCAGGAATTCACTGGTTATCCATCTCTAGCAGAGAATGATAAATCTGTCTTCAAGGGTTCTCACCTTTGGAGAAGCGATGAAACATGAACCACAGCCTGACTTAACTGTCCTTTCCCTTATAGTCAGTGCCCTGTGGCTGGGATATGTGATGACTGAACAGACTGCATGAGTCAAATAATGTGTTTGTCAGTGTTGTAACCTGTGGGACTTTGCTGTCAGGGAGCTGTCACCTGGGGAGGAGTCAGAGATGGCACATAAGTTCTTGATATCACCCCCAACTCTTGACAGCTTGATTTGTCCTTTCTTCCTTCTCCAGCCACAGCAGTGGCCCCTGGGAACAGGAATGGGAGGAGTCATGTCTTGTGAAATACAGGGAGAAATTTTTAGACATTAATTGGTGTATCACTTAAAAAAAAATCATTGTGGTAACCCACAGCAGAAAAGGAAATTGATGACACAAACAAAGTCTTTCCTTAAAGTCTACCGATTACCATCTTGAAAACCAATTTTGTCACAGATCCTTGTGAGGCCATTTACATAACATTATTCTCATTCTTAGAACATTATCATTCTCTTCCTTTACTGATGAGGAAACATGCTCAATGCCTCAACCAGGTAAATGGCAGGACGTAGATTTGTCCCTGGCAGGTAACAAGTCCTGGATTTAGTCTTCAGTCGGGGTTACCTCCTGGTGAGGAGAGTTTTCCAGCCATGAGATCCTCTCCCTTGCCCTCTTGTACCTCCCACCTCCTCACCGCCTTATTCTGGGTATGTCTCCTAGGTATGTGGACAGCTAAGGTAGTACCCCTCTGCACCAACAGCTGCTCCTAAGAAGGGTTGCAGATGGACCATAAAAAGGACTAAAGTACACATGTTACTATATGGATGAACCTTGTAAAATTATCTGAGTGAAAGAAGCCAGTCCCAAAGGACCACAGATCATTTGACTGTACTTATAAGAAATGTCCAGAATAGGCAAATCCATAGAGACAGAAAGTAGATTAGTCGTTGACAAGGGTTATGTGTGTAGGGGTGTGTGCGCGCACGTGCGTGTGTTGGGGGCAGGGGGATGGGAAGATGAGGAGGTAAAAGATAAGGAGTGTGGGATTCTTGGTGGGTAATGAGAATGTTCTTAAATTCATTGTAGTGATGGCTGCCTAACTTGGATTATGTTGAAAGCCATCAAACGGTAGACCTTAAATAGATGAATTGTGTGCTCTGTGAATTAGATCTCATTTAGCTGTTGAATCAGAAGTGTTACAGATACATCTGCATCCCTGCTGGTGAATGAGTCAGCTGAGCTAGTGTTTCCAACTTGAAGCTATACTTAAGAAAAAATTAGTGCTAACATTTACTGAACACTTAACTTGTGTTCTGAGGATTGTACTAAGTGGTTTACAGGCAATAACTCATTTAATCTGTGTACACAACTATTATGCCTCCATTTTACAGATAAGGAAACAGGCACAGAGAGGTTGTGACCTACTTGTTGAGCTAGTGAGGGTTAGAGCCAGAATTTGAACACAGAGTACCTGGCTCTAGAGCTGTCAGCCACTGATTCTATGTTGCCTCTCAAAAGTGACAAAGGGAAAGGTTAGGACGAGAATTTCTGACTCCCAGTCCACTGCTTCTCGTGGATGACTCTAGCTACATGCCACGTCCAAATCAATATACTAATTGGAGATACAAAATATGTTAAGTTGCACAGTCCTCATCTTTGAGAAATTTACCACTCCAGAAATAAATACACAAAATATATTTCCGTGGAGGATGATTCTAAATGGAAGAATTTAGATCTCTCTCTAAATTTCTACTGCTTGGACAGAGTGAGATGTTATTTCCAAGCTTGGAGCTTCTCCAGGGAGAGGTTTGGCAGCGTGGTGCTGGTGCTTGTATGCCATGGACAGAGTGGAGAGGGTCCTCTGGGCTCAGACAGACCTGTGGTCTTAGGGCTGCCACAAGGTGTGCGTGGAGAGGCTCTGGGGCTGCCTTGCACACTAAAGGTGTCAGCCTGTGCGGCCACAATGGGGCCCCCAAGGCAGTGACCCCTGGAGCTGTGTGATCTTGAACGTGGCTGGACCTCTCTGAGTCTCAGCTGCCTTGTCTGTAAGATGTAGATGGTCTTACTGACCTTTTCGGTCATTGAAGGAGATGAAGTGAAATAACATACCTGGTGACTCACCAAGTGTTCGTGCCTACTTGTACTCATGAATATGTGCTTGCTCAAAGATGCCAGCTCACTCACTGGCCTCCCGGGGCACCTGCCTGGTGCTCGGAAGGAGTGTCATTTCCCAGTTTCACCTGGAGAAATACCTCCCATCCGGTGATTCCTTTGCGTTTAATTAACTCCTTTGTGGGGAGGCACATGTGCACATGCTTTTTGAGTCCATTCGGAAAAGACTGTGAAGAGAGAAGAAAGAGAAAGGAGGTGGCACTCGCATCCTGCAGTTTTCCCTTTCAGCCTGGGCTCTAGCTGCCCTGCCGTCCACTAGGACTAGTGGTTCAAACTGGGGCTGCCCTCCCTGGGGGCCCTGGCATCATCTGCAGAGTTTAGATTAACACCCCTTGAGGGAGGGGTGCTACTGACATCTAGTGAGTCGAAGCCAGGGGTGCTGATAAACACCCTTCAACGCCCAGGACAGCACTCACCCCCGCCAACACAACAGACTTTCCTGCCCGAAAGTCATCTGCGGCCGCAGGACTTCCAACCCGCCCGCCAGCCCGAGTGCCCACACCCAGCCTCCTGCAGGCCTGGGGAGCAGCACCAGCTCCTTCTCTCCCTAAGGGCCACTCGTGGGGTGGTGGGGTTTCTCGAATTCCTCAGAGAAGTCCCAGGAACAAATGGTGATGTCAGGGATTTTTATTTTTCAGGTTCCTGTGGCATGAAAGGATGACAGACTCAGGAGGGCCCCGGGGGCGCACACTTTGCTTTTTATCTACGCTGCTTTCCCAGAAAGTTCCCGAGAAGTCAGACGCCGTGCTTCGCTGCATGATATCGGGTAACCATCACTAGCTCATCCCTCTCTGAAATTCCCCTGCAGACCAGGTGTTTTGGCTCACAAAGGCATTGTTAAACATCATCTGGGAAAATTACCTGGGAAGTTAGTTCTGAGTAACGGACTAAGCAACAAAATCCTCTATGATTTTATTCCTGGAAGAGTCTTTGAGTAACTTCCTAGACACGTATTTTAGTGATCTTCACGTCACATTGTGATTCTTGGTTAGGAAACTCCGACACTGGTTCTTTTCCCAGATAATTCACTCTTAGTTTCCTGTGGCGCACGGGAATGGCGCGAATAACTTCACTTCAGGCCGTTTGCTGAACTCCTCTCCATCCCTGTGGACTGCCATCTCCAGCCTGGCTCAGTTCGCCTCCCCACGGCTTCCCTTCCTCAGCTATGCTAGTCAGCAGTGAAACGGTTAAAACCAAGACAAACACATCCAGTGGAGGGAAAGCAGGAGGCTGGAATTTCCCCTGACTGGAGAATAAGTTAACCCAGAGCTCATCCAGAGCTGGTACCCAGTGTGACAAAAAGGATTTATTATTAAAAGGAAATAGAAGCAAAGGAATTGGGTGGGGAAATGGTATCTTGTACCTTGTGGGTTCTTTTCTTTCTTGAATTATGCCTATCCTTGGAAACAGGGAGGCACTGGTGGTCTTTCCTGAGGGCAGACGGAAAACTCCTTCCTCCCAGATCCCCTTTTCTAAGTCCAGAGAGGAGAAGAGTCAGCATCTGAAACGGCTGCGTTTCCTCAGCAGGAGTCACAGTAAAATCTCGGCTTCGGTCTGGATGCTGGGCGGGTAGGACTGTGCACCCAGCCTCTCCAAGCCCAGAGCAGAGCACCCCCTCTTTCTCAGTGTTTGTCCAGAGCTGTCCAGATAGAGGGACAGGCTCAAGTCTACTCCTGAGACTTCCCAGAGTAGCCCCATGTCTCCCTAGGAGGCCCCGATGTAAACGTGGCCACGGGTCCCCACACACATTAGCCAGATACTTGTGAAACGTTCTGGAGGTGGCTCTCAACATGCGACCTGCAGGTAGGCTTGAAAAACAAGGCTGGGATTTTCGGGTCAGGTTTCCAGCAAGTAGAGGGAGAAAAGAGAGCCACCCACAAGGTGCAAGATACCACTTCCCTGTGCAAGCCTCGTTTGGGGCTGATTATTCAGCTCTGTACCGCACTAAGGGAAAAAACCAGTCAGCCATTGAGAAACCAGCGGATTCAGTCAGCCCTGATCAGTCTGAAGTGAAGAAATTGGAGCCCGAGCTCAGAATGAGTTCCCCAGCCCCAGCCCTTGCTGTGATCGCTTCAATGAAAATCAAGAACGCACCAAAAAGGAGCAGTTAAAAGCTTCCTGAGAGGGAATCTGATAAAACTGACCGAAAGGGGAACACGAGTCTGCTAAGAACAGACAGAAATGAAATGTGATCAGCGGCTTCCTTGGTTTTTCAGGGAAGCTCATTTTTGGTGGTTTAGTCATTTGTCTGAAAGAGACTCAGCCGAGCGGCTGCTGCCAGAGATGGGTCCCTGCACGCAGGTCTGTCTGCTTCTGGTGCCAGGGACTGACCCTGCGGGTGCCTACCTGGAGGAGGAAAGAGGTAGCCCAGCTGGGAGACCCAAAATTAGATGAGACATAGGGAGGAAGGGAGAGGGGCTCTAAGCATCCTCGGGTCCTGTCTGTGGTACAGGTCTTACTGACTTTTTCTTGTTACCTCCCCGACTTTTCTATTTTTTTTTTTAGCTTTCCCCCTTCTAACTAGCCTTAGAAGAACCTGGAATTTTTCCTCTGATTGGTCTCTTGGGTTGCTCAACAAAAACCTTACGATAAGACAGAAACGTAAGAATGTTCCTGAGATGGATTCAGGATTATGTATTGCTTCCAAATACTGGATTTTCCTCCTGTATAGATGGCAAATTTTGATAAATTGTCTATGACATGGAAGTCAGGGAGAAAGCTCACTGGCACACACTGGAAACTGCCCTGCCCTGCCTGTCCCTAGGGGAAAAAGTCCCAAGGAGCGAGTGGAATTCCTGGGGGTTTTACCAGATTAGCCCATTGACATTACATCCGGTTAACCATCAATCACCAGGGGAGGGTGAACCCCTTCTGAGGGAGAAAGCGAAGGTCAGTTTCTGTGACGACACCAGTCACATGTGCACAGTACCAGCCTGAGAAAGCTCCATTCTAGATCTTTGATCCTCAGGAAGATGATGGCTTTTAGCTCATCTATTTCATTCCTCCCTCTTTTGTATCATAACATACACTCAACTCTGAGCACCGTTTAAGTGCAATTCTCAAAAACGTAAAGTGACTCCCATACAAATATGAAAATGAACATTTCAAAGATTATATTCAATTCTTTGAGTAAAGAGAGAGCCAGAAAGTATTAAGACATGGTCAAAGAACATTTGAGGAACTGGGTGTTTATAGGCAACTGAATAAAGAATGTTAGGATAATATTGCTGAGTTAGGTAGAACATTGGTTAATGTCCTTTAGGGCAATAAACTATGATTTATGGCGTTACCTTGTCTGCTAGACAGAGATGATTTGTATCTCTAGTGAATAAAAATCTCCAAGTTTACATGTAACTTCACTAAGTCTGGGAATTTTAATCAGTAGTGATCACTGATGAAACAAAGTCCATTCCCTTAGAAAACTCTTAGGTGGACCTTTGCCCCCATGTGACACTGGAAGAAGACACCATCCACATTTTTGCCCTATTTATAACTTCCAGATAATTTTTCTTAACAGCTTCTTGAGATGAGGAACAGCATTTTTCATTTTGTGTGCCCCCCCCCACCGCATCACAGCAGCATCTTAGGCACATAATAGGCTTACTGAGTGATGCATTTTTATCAATGAGAGTAAGTTTTTTCAGTTCTCCAGCTGACATATCCATGATGTTTATCCCTATTGTTTATCACCCATTCTTATTCATAGCTTTATGGGTTTTTTTTCTAAAAGTACTTCACGTAACATGAACATTCGTATTTATTTGTCATCAGGTCAGCCCGAGCCAGAGGTAACTTGGTATAAGAATGGTCAAACCATAGATGAGTGTGGCATTGCTTCCAGTCATGAATTCGCCAAGAATCAATACACTCATGTATTACATCTCTCTTGGTAAGTGGATGTGCCTTTGTGGACTGTTTCCTGAGACCCCTATGTCCTGTCCTGTGCTGGTTCCCATGAGGTCAGGCCACAAGATTGGCTCACGTTTGCTTTTGGAGTCTTAACATTAGGTGCTGTTGGCAGTCGTCAGCCCAGGCATCCAGCAGTTACTCTGCTGAGCTCTGCCTGGTAACTTACCAGACTCCTCATTTGCTGCCATGGATGGAATTACAACTCTATCTAGAATTTTACTCAAGGTGGCCCAGCCACTCTCATTCATTAAGTGAGCTTTTTATTTAATCACGTTCTCTCTGGCAAGTTAAGAAGGATGATAGGAACATCTGTCGGGTTCCCACATTCCTTGTGTAGGAACGGAGGACAGAAGTGATTGACCCTGATCCACAGCAAACGTGATGGTGTTAATGCCGGAAACCATACCTTCTGGCTTTATTTGAGGAAGCGGACAGTCCAGGACAACGCTTTCTCATTCTTTTCCGTTCCCCTAAGAACTGTGTGTTTGGATGAAATCAGGATGCTCTGTATGTGAAGCAGAGGAAATGAGAACTACTGTGGTTGAAGCGGGGTGGTGGGGTGGGGAGTCTGTGCTCTTGGTCCCCAACACTGCTAAATTGGCCTGCATGTCCCTTACAGTGGCTCTGAGGAGACTGGAGTCTGCAGAGCATGGTGTGAAAATGACTGGTAGGCATGGGTGCCTGTCGATAGCCTTGGATCCGAGAATAAATTAAGATTTCTATTTGAATTTTAGCTCTGCCATTTTCTGACTCTGTGACCTTGGCTGGTTATTTTACCTCTCCAAACTAGATTTCTTCATCTGTAAAAGGGAGGCTGAGTGAATTAAATGATTTAATGCTTGTAAAAGGCTTGTTACATACAGTAGTTGCTCAATAAAAGCTTTCTTATCTCCTCCTCTATGCTCTTGTTTCAATGAAAGACCAGAGGTCATGGTACCATGATGAAATGCTTAACCCAACTGGCTTACAGCGAGTCTAACCTGATACTCAAGACATCTGTTTATTCATTCATTGCTTAATTTTTAAATGATGCTCATCAAGCAGCTACTATATGGCAGGCATGTTGCTTAATGCCAGGGGCAGAGTGAACAACACAAACATTGTCTACACCCTTATAAAACCCCAAGTCCAACGAGGAAGATAAGTGGTGAAGAAATCACTCCATTCCTCCCCTCGCACTCCAGTATACTGGGAGGCAACCCAACTGCTGTGGCTGCCCCTCAGCCAAGGGTTGGACTTCCTGCCTCTTCAATCTAGTTTTGCCCAGGCCTGCCCCACTCTCCTCTTTACCCCATTCAGCTTCGAAACTACCTTGACGGCTCACAGGCAATGCTAGTTGCCCATGGATCTGTCCAGCCTCAAACATTCTCATCTCCTTTGCATAGGCATGCCTTTGGGTGCTTATTTACTGCTCAGGATTGATGACTGTTCAGTAGACTGTGGGCCTCCTAGAGGCAGGAACCCTCTCTGTTATCACATTAATCCATGCATCTACTTATGTATGTATGTATGTATGTATATATCTATCTGTCTCTCTATACCATATGTATATTTCTTGTTGTGGTTCTTAGTTTGCTCAGATCAGCATTGGCAAACTTTTTCTATAAAGGCCACATAGTAAATGTTTTAGGCTTTAAAGTCCTCGGTCACAACTACTCAACTCTGCCATCATTGTGCAAAAGCCGTCGTAGACCCCATCCCCCTCCAAAAAAGGATAGTTATGTCCCAATAAAACAAACTTTGTTTATAGAAACAGCTGGGGGCCAGATTTGGCCTGTGGACTGTATTTTGCCAACCCCTGGTCCAGATGTTAAGATCCTTGAGGATCTACACCCTATTTCTTTGTATGTTTTCCACTCTTACCTTTGTCCCTCTAAGCACTCCATACATATTTCTGTTTAAATTTTTTATTGAAGTATAGTTGATTTACAATGTTGTGATAGTTTCAGGTGTACAGCATAGTGATTCAGTTGTACATATATGTAGATATATGTATTCTTTTTCATATTCTTTTTCATTACAGGTTATTATAAGATATTGAATATAGTTCCCTGTGCTATACAGTAGGACTTTGTTGTTTATCTGTTTTATGTATAGTAGTTTGTATCTGTTCATCCCAAACTCCTAATTTATTCCCTTCCCCTTTCCCCTTTGATAACCATGTTTGCTTTCTATGTCTGTGAGTATGTTTCTGTTTTGTAAATAAGTTTACTTGTATCATTTTTTTAGATTCCACATGTAAATAATATCATGATAATCGTCTTTTTCTGACATACTTCAAGGAGTATGATAATCTCTAGTTCCACCCATGTTGCTGCAAATGGTATTATTTTATTCTTCTTTTCATAACTGAGTAATATTCCATTGTATACATATACCACATCTTTTTTGTCCAGTCATCTATCAGTGGACACTTAGGTTGCTTCATGTCTTGGCTATTGTAAATAGTGCTGCAGTAAACACTGGGGTGCACGTATCTTTTCAAATTAGAGTTTTCTCTGGATATATACCCAGGAGTGGGATTGGTGGATCCTCTGGTAACTCTTTTGTTAGTTTTAAAGGAATCTCCTTATTGTTTTCCATAGTGGCTGCACCAGATTACATTCCCACCAACAGTCAATACGTATTTCTTGATTGATTAATTTGGGTCTCACACTAAGCTAAAATATTATACTCACTTTTAAGCCAGAAGAGAAGCTTAATGTGTATTCTTTTACTTTTGGAATACCATTTAGGAACTGAGTTTGCTAGTGTTATTTGTTGTGTATACAGGACCAGGGATATAGGCAACACCGACATTTGTAGGGAGTTAAGGGAAGGCCATGATGAAGCCCCAGGGGCAGGCGGGCAGGTTAGAACAGGAGAGGCACAACACAGGGAAGGGAAACTTAGGAAGGGACCTAGTGCTGTGAAAGGAGCAGAGGGTCCTCCTTCTCTGCTCTGAAGTCCAGCTGGGCAGTGGTTTACTGTAAAAATGAAAGATTTAATGTGTCAGAATGCACTCTTTCCAAGTTCCTGGCCTGTCATTTTGAGAAGTAGCCCATCTACTGGCAAAAGCATTCAGTCCTAACTCAAGGAGTAGTGGTAGGGCAATATAATAGTAGGTGTGGCTGCATTCTTCCCTGCTACATCGGGTATTAATAGTCCTTAAAAGTTCTGACTTTCTACACTGGTGGTTCTGAGCTGTCGCGGCCCATTAGCATTACCTGCGGAGCTTTTAGAACCCACTCACATTTGTCCTTCCCCTGTGACAAATTCAGTCTGAAGCCCAGGTGATTCCCAAGTGTTGTCCAAGATGAAAGATGCTTTATGTTCTAGATCATTCATCTGCAAAGTAGTTTGACTTCTGCCTGTATATTAAGTGCTAGTTAGGAACATAAATGGTATTTTGTGCAAATGTCTTTCTAAGATTAAATGTTAGTTGTCAGCTACTATATCAGTGTTGAATTTTCTGGCCATCATCAATGCACCAAAACTATTAGCTCATAGTTCCCCAAAGAAAAGTATTTTACTTTACCTGCCTGAATTGAGTCTTTCAGCCATTAAATCTGAGTTCTTAGATATTTGAAATCTCCTGATTCTGTGTTTCCCAAGGGCTTTCCCTGGCTCAGGAAATCTGATTTCAGGTGTGCTTTGAGGCCAAGAGCCCTGCCGCCATGTTAATCAACCTCCTGATCCTCCCTCTTTCCTCCACCCGGGAGCGCCTCTTCCCCCATCCTTCCTGCCTTCTCCTCCTCATACCACTCTTATCTTGTGAAACTCCGCCTTTTGGGCAGACAAGGCTGCTTGGAGAGATTGATGGGTGCTCTTGTGACCTTTACCTTACCACAGGTCAGGTGTGCTTGGCAGACAAAAGACACGGGGAAAGCCAAGAACGCGCTCTGACGGAGGGAGACAGCAGTAGTAACAGTCTGGTTTGCACTGTAGCGTGAGAACAATTTTTTTTCCCCCAAAAGACGTAGGGGTTAGGGGGTGGTGAATGCAAATCAATGTTTTCTACCTCATAGTGAAAACAAGTTTCCAGGACGTGTATACAAACAGGGACCTGTGGTCTCTTTTGAACACAATTTAAAGACAGGCAGCAAAGTAACAGGTAAAAATCTGTCCGGAAACCCACCCCTAGAGAGAGACACTCCTCTCCACAGCAAGGAGGCCTCTTTTGAAGGTCACAGTCATGTCCAGTGGTACTGAGAGTGAGCCCCAGATTACAAGTGAGGCAGGAGTGGGGGGAGGGTGGACAGGGCAGGAGCACCTGGGTGAGAGGGAGGGGAAGCCGCCCCGCCTGCTCTCTGGTCCACTCACCTGGGTGTGGGCTGGGCTGGAAGCAGACCCTGCAGAGGGCCTGATGGGGACCATGGCCAGGGAGCTCCACAGTCACTACAAGCCACGTGTGTACAAGTTGAGTAGGGCCCCCCAAATTCCTGTTCACCTGGCACCTCAGAATATGACCTTCTTTGGAAATAGTGTCTTTGCAGGTGTAATTATTTAAGATGAGATCAAACTAGACTAATAGGGGCCCTGAGTGGTGTCCTGATACATAGAGGAAACAGAGACGCAGACACCACTCCCCCCTCATTCTCTGGGTCAAAGCAAGTCCCAGGGCCAGACCAGATTCAAGAGGCAGGAAGACAGGTGCCACCTCTTGAAGAGTGGACTAGGAATGTCACTCTGCAACAGGGTGGATGTAACTGGATGAGAGGAGTTAGTGGCCACGTTCTGTAGTCCACTGTCCCCTTCATCATTTCAAATAAGCGTTGCTTCTTGTTAGCTGTGTGGCCTTGAGCAAGGCAATTGACTTCACTGAGCTTCAGTTTCTTTATACAAATGTTGGGGATGATGTGGTGAGATGATTCATGCAAAATGAGCAGCAAAAGTGTGCAGGTAAGTGCCCAGATATTACCAGTCCCTGAAAGCACTGTGTTCCCAGAATTACTCTGAATGAATAACTCCATCCTAGCTTATAATACCGGGGGTATTTAGCGCCCGGGAATTTTATATGAAGAATTTGAAAAGTGTTAGTGGAGAATTTTCAAAGACAAGAAGAAAATGGATATTTAACAGGAGAGCTGTACCCAGACACAGGGTTGAAGCCATTTTTGTCATATTTGCTTATACTCAAAACCCAATTCACAGACACAGAAAACAAATTTATGGTTACCAAGGGGCGGTGGGGGAAGAGGGGAGGGAAGAACAAATTGGGAGTTTGGAATTGACTGACACAAACTACCATGTACAGGATAGATAGACCACAGGGTCCTCCTGTATAGCGCAAGAAGTTATATTCAATGGCTTTTAGTAACCTGTAATGAAAAAGAATATGTATGTAGATGTACAACTGAATCACTATGCTGTACACCAGAAACAAATACAACATTGTAAATGAAGTATACTTCAATTTTAAAAAATGGGGAGAAAAAGAAACCCTGTTTGCATGGTTTGTAGAAGGTGGGATCTGTGACTTTAGTGAAGTCTCACACTTCTCAATTATTCCTCCCATCTAGATGGACAGACAGACCCCCAGGAGCCGTGAGACACTGTTATATTCCCGAAGCCACTCTGCTTTGTAGTGGGCAGGGTGTTGTTCGTAAGTGCTTGTTGTCTGAGCCAGAGGGACCCTCAGCCTTTGTCCATACCCAGGGGAATCCATATTCTTTCCAAATATCTAAAGAAAACATGAGTTCTTGGTCATGAATGAGGCTGGGCAAATGAGTATAAGTGAATCACTTAAAAATATAAATACCTCAAGGCACACATCCTGCTAAAGGTGGAAGTATCACCACCAACTTCACTTACAAAGGACAAGGGATTATATCCACCATTGAAAGCAAGGAGTTGAAACCAGGTTGTCTGGATTTAAATCCCAGATCTACCTCGTACAAGCTGTATCATCTTGGGCAAGTTACTTAACCTCTCTGGGCCTTAGTTTCCTCATCTGCAAAATGAGGATAAAGACAGTACCTGCTTTATAGGGTTGATGGAGGGACTAAATCAACAAGTGCAAAAATTTAGAAGACTCTATAAATAACAGTCACTTTGTGCAGTTTGCACATGTTCCCTGTGCTGAACTATAATTTTGAAACTGATTAAAAAGAAGACAGTTTAGAGGTAAGAATGGTAGCTTCGTTTGGCAGCATTTTTCTTCTCTGTTGTTTCCTTCTTGGAGGATAAAATATAATTAACGTGTTTGATCAAGGAATCATGGGGTAGAAATAAAGATGACTGAGTCTTGTCTTGGCTGAGAGAGAAAAGTCACTTCATCCAAGGTTGGAAAGCATTTTGTGAGCTTCACGTTCCTGTGAGCTTAAGTAGGTGTCACAAGTCTTCAGGATGACTGGTAGACCTTCCCGGCACCAGACAGGCCTCTGCGTTCCCAGCTGGGCGGGCCCCTGCGGCATTCTTCTTGAATGAATTCAGCAGGGGTGCATCGTGGCCATTCCTTAGACCACGCCTGGAACATTTCTTGAATGAGTCCCAAGGGTCTGTTGAGAGACACCCATTTGGTCCCCGGGGTGATGCCCTGTGCACGCCGATAATTTTCTGTCCGTCGTCACTTTCCGATTTTGACTTTGGTAGGTGAGTGTCTCAGTGGAGTGAGTGGTGACGGGCGGGGCATGGGATGCTCAGCTTTTCCTGTGTGCTCACTCATCCTTTCCTGGGAGTCGGACTTGGGCTGTTGTGCCCACCACAGTGCTGACTCTCAGCGCAAATCCATGCTAGTCTGGGGGCAGGTGACAGGTCAGTCCTAGAGCCCTGCCCCCCACCCCAGTGGTGGGACAGCCAGAGAAAGGTGCACTGGCCACTGGAAATTGGACAGGTGCTGAATGTCCCTGGAAAGGCCATTCTTACAGCGGACCAGTGACAGGGAAGTTCTTGGGCCACCTGGGGTTCAGTCTTACTTTGTCATCACAGAATCACAGAAATGGGCTGATGCTTCTGAGGATTGAAAAATGGCGACTCTGGCTGATGTAGAAATCCCAGCCTCCACGCAAGTGATCACCTGACTGACTCCCTCATTAGAGGCAAACGTCATAGAGAAGTCACTTGACAAAGGCGGGTGCCTAGTTAGGGAGCTGGAACTGAATCAGGCCTTGTGAGGCCTGTGAGGGGTTTTCCTCCAGCCCCGAGGGGAGGTGCTGGGGGGACGGAACTGAGAACAAGGTTCGGTTGGGAACGTGTGTCTGTCCTGACAAGCCCTGTTTTCCCCCAACCGAAGGCCTCCAGTGAAATTTACCTCCACCTTTGCCCCATCAGGCCTGGAAACCTCCCTGCCCACCTCCCTCCACCCCTACTCTGTCTGAGAGTCAGAGAGCTGGAAGCCACTCCAAGACCGTGTCACTGAAAATGGATTTTGGACTAGGGGCGGCCCCCGTGGCCCCCGGGAGCTTGTCAGAGTGTGGGAATCCCAGCCCCAACCCTGGCTTGGCAATCAGATTCTGCATTTTAACGCGATCTCTGTGATCCGTGTGCACGTTAATGCAGGAGGAGCCCTGCTCTAAGAATTATCCTGCTCTGGGCTCTGTATTACGCCTGGGGAACTCTTGAAAAATACGGATGCTCAGGTCCCCCTCCCAAGAAATGCTGATTTAATTGGTCAAGTGCCGTTGATCTAATCCAATTCCTTTACTTAAGAGATCACCCAAGACCCAGAATGATCATGGGACCCATCCGAGTGTCTAACAGCTGGTTAGGAGCAAAGCTAGGATCACCCGAGATCATACCCCCAGGGCCCCCGGCTCCCCTTATGTCACTCACCGCAGCTCCTTTTGCTGGGGCCGTCCTCCAAAACCAAGTCACGAACACACATGCTGGAGTATAACTCAAAGAGGTGAGCGTGAGGGCTTCCTTGAAAAATCACAATTCATGGAAGGCCTCCTCTATGCCAGGGGCTGTTCAAGACCCTGTTGTTTGTTTTGGGTTGTTTTTTCATTTTCCAAAAGGACTAGTTTTATTTAAACAGAGTTGTAATCGCTTCAGTGGCAGGAGGAGTAAGAGAGGTTCCTTTTTCAGTCCCAGGGCCCCCATAATGCTGGTCTGTTGTTACCAGACACACTGGCAAGTAGCATCCTTTGGTAAGTTCACGGCAGTGGTTAGTCTCTCCCTGCTGGAGTAACAAGGTTTAGCGTCAATCTCTGCTTTTCTAAGAATCTTGAATTTAGGATTTCCAACTGTAACTACTCCAACTTCTATTTCTGAAGGTTTGAAATCAACTGATAGAGCAGTAGACAGGCATGTAATCGCAGTTTCCACTGTCTATTCAAATGTCCGGTCAAATTGCTTCTTTGTGGTTTTTTTTCCCCTAGGAAGCCAGTTGACTCTGTTTAACTCCTGCTGCAGTGGCTTTAAACCCAAAGTAGCAGCAGCCCAGTCAAGTCCTCGATCTTGTGGACGAGGGGTGAGAGGTGGAGTCACACGTTAGACCCACAAACCAGTACAGGGCCTGGTGGCAAAGAGGGGAAGGAGGGCAGGGCTCTCTGATGCGGTGCTGGCAGCAGGGGTGAGATGGGGAGGAGTGGGAGAGGGAAGGGATTGGCACCTGGGGAAGAGCTTTCTCATCGGACGGAGTAGCCAGGGCAGAAGGGAGCCCTGAGGTGGGAGCATGCGAGGGCCCTGGGGCTGGAGAGGGTCGAGGGAGGGCGCTGTCGTGGAAGATGAATCCCAGAGACAAGACTGTTGGGTCTTGGAGGCCACAAGCTGTGAGTCCTTTGGATCCTACTTTGAAGGAGATGCAGGCATGCAGGAGGGTTTCTAAACAGAGCGATGATTTTTTTCTGGCGTGGTTTTAAAAGGATGCTGCTGGCTGCTGGGTTGTGAATGTTATGCCTATAGAGGAGACAGGGCACAGTGGAGGTAATTCAGACAAGAGATGAAGGGTCCCAGTCCACGGTGCTTCTGGAAGGTGGCAGGAAGCCGTCAGGTTCTGGATCCGTCTGACAGTCCTGGGTATATTGCTCTTGGACTGGATGCTGGAGGGGCGTGGAGGATGGACTCCAAGATGTGTGGCCTGAGCAGTTGGTAGAATGGATTTGCAGTTTGTTTTGAGACGAGAAGCAGGTTTGGATGGGAAAATCAAGGTTTGTTTTGGAGCATGCTCGGTGTTTAAATAAATGAACAGTATTAGTCCTTCAGGATTCTAAGCTAACTTGTTTCTATGAAAGAGCTCAGGGTCCCCTGAGCCAGCATCCAGCAGTGCCTTGTTCTCTGCCTGCTCTCAAGATGCCATGTCTTTCATAGATGGATTTACAGTTTAATCTACGAGTCTTTCTAGTGTCACAATGTCCCTTGAGGTTTCTGGAGACATTCTGGGACACTTGGTGGCCTCTTGGGTGGGGCGGGTAAGGATTCCTTCCAGCCACCCCTGAGTTTTCCTTTGATAAGCGAGGGGGTCAGGCGTCTGTACACTAAGCCTGTTGGCAGTAAGGCAGTAAGGCCATGGGATGTTTTCCTTTCTGAAATCAATTTGCTCATTTCTTGTGCAGAGAACGTCTGGTTGGTCTGCATTTGGTCCCAGAGGCTCAAAACGCTGTCAAAAGCAGCACTTTTCTGCCAAACGAGAGCCAGGAAATCACTCCGGGTACGTGCCCAGGTGCCCAGGCCGAGAGCCCTCCTCCACCATCCACTCGGTACAGGAGCTGATGCTCTTTTATCTCAGCACTTTCTGAGTGCTAACTTCCCATTGCAATCACCTGGGAGCCTTAAAAAACACCAGTGGCAAAGCCCTTCGCCCTGAGATGCGGTTTAATTGTTCTGTTTTGTTTTGGTTTTGGTGGGGCCCTGGTACTGATAGCTTCCCCCTCTTTTAAAGAGACTTTATTTTTTAGAGCAGTGTTAAGTTCACAGCGAAATGGAGCAGAAAGCAGTTTCTATATATAACCGCCTCCTGACCCTAACACAGACTCTCCCACTATCTACATACCCCGCCAGAAATGGTTGGGACATGTGTTACAACCAATGAGCCTCCACTGACATGTCATTACCCCTCGAAGTCCATGGTTTACATCAGGGCTCACTCTCAGCGTTGTATGTCCTGTGGGTTTGGAGAAACATATAATGAGATCTATCCATCAATACAGTATTATACTGAATTGTTTCACTGCCCTAAAAATCTTCTGGCTCTGATTTACCGCAGCACGGATGGACCTAGAGATTGTCATACCAAGTGAAGTAAGTCAGAGACAAATACCATATGTCACTTGTATGTAGAACCTTAAAAAAATGACATAAATGAACTTATTTACAAAACAGAAATGGATTCACAGACATAGAAAACAAACTTACGGTTACTGGACGGGGGGAAATGTCGGGCAGGAGGGGTAAATTAGGAGTTTGGGATTTGTAGATACTAACTCCTATACATAAACTAGATCAACAGCAAGGTCCTGCTTACAGCACAGGGAACTATACCCAATACCTTGTAATAACCTATAATGATAAAGAACATGAAAAAGAATATATATATGTATAACTGAATCACTATGCTGTACACCAGAGACACACATAACATTGTAAATCAACTGCACTTTAATAAAAAATAAATCTTCTGGCAGTGTGGTATTTCTAAAAAGTACTCCAAGTGATTCTACGGTCCAGCTGGGGCTAAGAACTCTGAGTGCTCAGTGTGTGTCAGGTGCTGCTTTAAGCACTTGATGGAATTAACTCCCAGAGTCCTCCTGTCACACTCTGGTGTAGGTACAGGTGTTGTCCTGAGCCATTCACTGGCCTGTCCGATATCACACAGTGGATGGATGGGCAGTGGGTGAACCCAGGCAGGCTCGCCGCCAAGTCTGTCCCTTGACCACTGCATGCTGTGCTGGCTTTGTAATCTGCCTCTCTGATCTGCTCAGAAGTGGAAAAGGATTGAAGAGGAAAAGTCAGATTTCCTGGGCAGTTCACCCCCACGCCGTGCTCCTGAGCAGAAGTCTGTGCTCATTTCTTTGCTGTCCCTTACATACAACCTGCTCATTCCAGCTCTGAGACATCTGCCCGGAATGCCCTCCCCTGCTCCCTATCCAGCCAAAGTAATCCTTCCCTCTAGTCTCCGGTTCCGTGCTCCTGGCTCCATTCCCTGAAGATCCAGGCCACCTTGACTTGACCTCTCCTCTCCTATCTCCATCCACCAGATGTGCTCACTGCCTCAACGGTGCCTTTTGGAATACGATGACAGTAGAGTTTGCAGATTGCACACCGCTCCCTATTTAATCCCTGAAAGTCTTATCTCTTGGTCGCTCCCCCAGGGAAGGAAATAAATCTTATACCGGCAATTTTTTGGGTCTCCTTTTTCAAGTCCCACGCAGTGTGCAGGTATGTATAGGTCCAACAGGACGTGTGGGAGAATGGGGTGCTTCTACTTAACCAGAGGCCTCAGGAGAGCGGGAACCCCGCGTCTCACCCTAGTGCTCTGTGCAGATGTGGTGAGGAGCTTCCAGAATGATTTCTGCTCCTCCCTCAATGACTGCTCTGATCTGCTTCCATGAATTGGAGCCTGAGGTCCAAACTCTTCAGTCGGGGATGGAAAATCTTTCTCGATCTGGGCCCTGCCCGCCTCCTGGTGGGTGACTGTTCCTCACCCCCACCCCGTGGCCTGGGTCAGCCTCACTTTCTGCCTGTGGTTTGGTGTAATAGTAATCGCATCCCTCCCCACTCTCTCAAGCATCCTGTTTCAACAGTGAGTCGTGCTGTTGCCTCACCTCTCAGCCCACCACTCCCCCAGGTTCCAAAGAAACCTGGTTTACTGTTTTCTGTGAGGGCCTGAGCTTTCCTGCCTCTTCTCCCCACCGGCTTTTCCTTCTGCTGGGAGTGACCAGCCCCTTCCCCAACCTCAGGCATGTACCATCTTTCCTGCCCAAATCCTACCATGTATTTCCCAGGCCTGCTTCAGGTTTTAAGTTCCCAGGAAACCTGCCCTCATTATCTTGCACCCCTCACCCCGCCTGCCCCTCAATCTGTATAATTGGTCAGACTTTTAATGGCGCTTAGCCCGTCCTGTCCTTCATCGGAGCTGCTTGTATGGACACCTCGTTTCCCTCACTGGATGGGGAGCTCCCGAGGGAGGGACTGGGAATTTAACATCTTTATCTTCTACACAGCAGCTCACACACTGCCATACATTTATCATTTTTTTTCAGCTGTCTAACTTAAGACAGTCGCACCTTATTTGGACCTCAGTTCCAATGTCTGTGAAATAAACTATCTCTGCACCAGTCAGGGTCTAACTGGGAAGACAGAAACCGTTTACAAGCTTTCAGTGCAGGGTTGCACAGGTGACTGAGCCAAACGGGGCACACTGAGGTCACCCAGAGATTAGCATCCGCAGGAAGCCACCATCTCCCACGCTGCAGAGACCAAGGCAGGAAGCAGGACCATTAGTCCCGGGTAGACCTGACCTGTGGGACCTGGAGCCACAGGGGAGGTGGAGGCTGCTGGAAATGCCACCTGAGGCTGGCTTCTTCTGTCTTCCCAGCCCTCTTTTGGTCAAATGCAGCAGGAAGCCGGTGGTCCTGGGAGTCAGGGAGACTCAGCCTCCAGCGGCCAGCCCTGGGATAGAGGGCAGACCAGGGGGAGGGGGCAGAGTAAGGGAGGGCAGTTGGGCCCCCCGAGCAGCACAGCCCGAAGGCCCCTTTCAGCTCTCCAGACGTGTGGTTCGATGTCTCTGTTGGATAAATAACTGAATGAACTGGTACATGTAAGGAATCTCTTCTTCAGTTTTGAAATGTGTCTAGCTGCTTGTGGAAAAATATCAAGAAAGTCTGTACTTCTCTAGTATTAGAATTCTTCCATCTCTGAAACAAACATAGCTTTGGGGCATGAGAAAGCCCCAGCCTTATGCCTTTGGTTATTCTGAATAATTCAATGAATAAAATTGACAGCAACAGCAGCTAGGCAAGTCATAAAATACAGACACTTAGTGTCAGGACATAGTATGACCTTCACCTGGTGCTAGGATTGTGGAAGGGACAGGCATGTCATCACACAAGTATTTACTGAACGGAGTCTCTCCCCCGCCTGCTGCATGGGCAGGCGAGGCTCAGGGAGGGAGAGGGAGACACTACAGTGTGTTCCCAGGTCTTGTTCTCTTCTCACGAACATGGAATACATATTAGAGAAATGTTGGGAATCCAGAGAGGATTCCAGATCTTACCTGTAGCCAATAATTTCAGCTTCTTCTCCTTTAAAAGTATATCCGTTTTGATAGGTCTATTGCACTGGTGGCTAAAGAAAAAAAAATGATTCCATGTCTTCTTTTTGTACTTGTTACATTCTGTTCCCCAACCCTTTATCCTCATATTCTTATTTTATAGGGTTACTAGTCCCGTGGATACTTGCCCTGTACTCTTAATTCTCATTCATATTTATAACACTTGTCCCCAAGGCACAAAACCATCCTAAATTGGTGGGATCCCGAAGACCTTCTAGAATCAACATCACTCCCTGCCCCCACTCCCCTGGCCCCTCAACATTGATGGAAACCAGCCTCCTCCTTCCTAAAGTGAAATCACATAGACTCATGCATTGAGCATCAGATCAGCATCTTTAGCGGGTGGAACCCAGGCATACGTCTTCTTTCTCTTTGTGTATCAGGAAATTGAGGCCCAAAGAGACCAAGTCATCTGCCTAAGAGACCATATAAATGACTGTACTGAGCAAAACAGTCAGCCCTCCATGCCCCTGCCCCTCTTCCAGAGTCCAGCAGCACTTGTCTGCCAGGCGTTGTGCTGTGAGAGGATGCTGAGAGTGTTTTAAAGCTTCCCTAGGTGAAGAGCTTTAATCAGCAGTTCTCACAGTTGGTCATCCTTGGACCCCTGGGGGCCCCTAAAACTCTTTCAGAGGGTCTGCTAGGTCAAAACTATTATCACAAAGATGCTGAAACATTATTTGCCTCTTCAGTGTCTTGACATGTGCACTGATGGTAAAAAGCAATGGGTGGGAAAACTGAGGATGGTCTTAGTATGAATCAAGACAAGTGGTCCCAAACTCTGCTAGTTGTCATAGAATTCTTCACTGCCATACAGTCACAATTAAAAACTAACCAAACCCCCACAATCTTACTGCATAATGTCTTTGATGCATCAGTAAAAATTGTTAATTTTAGTAAGTCCTGACAACTCAGGACTTTTACTACCCTCTGTAATAAAGTGGGAAATATGCCTAGCGCACCTCAGGTGGATTTCCTTGAGATGATGGGTCATCTTGAGGAAAAGCACCTGTCTGATTGCTGAAGCTGCAAGCTGAGCTAGTCACGTTCTTTCATGGAGTACAGTCTTTATTTGAAAGAACAATGGGCAAACGATGGGTATTTGGCAAATATTTTCCAATATAAATGAACGAATTTCCAAATATAAATGAACAAATTTTCCTGCCACTTCAAGGAAAAGTAAAAGTATCTGTTGCCAGTGGTAAAAATCCAAGCTTTTTCAAAAGGTACAAAATTCCATTATAAAACAGATAAGTCCTGGATGTGCAATATACAGCATGGTAACTATAGTTAACAATACTGTGTTTTTTATTTGTAAGTTACTGAGAGAGTAGATCTTAAACGTTTTCATCACAAGGGGAAAAAAAACTGAATTATGTATGGTGATGGATGTTAACTAGACTTATTGTGGTGATCACTTTGCAACATACACAAATACCGAATTATTACTTTATATATCTGAGACTAATATAATTTTATATGTCAATTATACCAGTAAAGAAAAAAATCCGAGCTTCATTGCAGTCCCTTCTCTGAACTAGGGACTTCCAGTTTCTTCAAATGTTCTTTCTGCCTCTTTCTCTCCTCTCCTTCTAGGACTCTCATTGTGCAAATGTTGTAAGCTTGGTGGTGTCCCATGGGACTCTATTCAGTTTTACCCATTCTTTTGTCTTTCTATTCCTAAGACTGGGTATTCTCAGTCTCAGCTGATCATCTTCTAGTTCATTGATTCTTTCCTCTACCTGCTCGCATCTGTTGTTGAGCCCTCTAGTGAGTTTTTCACTTCAGTTATTGTACTTTTCAACTTTAGAATTTCTATTTGGTTCTAGTTTATAATTTCTATACCTTTATTGAGACCTGGTTCTCTTACTTTCCTTTAGTTCTTTAAATGGTCTTAAAATAGCTAATTTAAAGTCTTCATCTAGCAAGTCTAGGGACAGTTTCTATTGACTGCTTGTTTTCCCCCTGTATGTGGGCCACATTTTATTCTTTCTTTGTGTGTCTCATAGTTTTGGTTTCTATGTGTGTGAAAATGGAACATTTTAAACACTATAATGTGACAACTATGGAAACCAGATTCTCCCCCATTCCCTGGGCTTGTTGTTGCTTGCTTGTTTAGTGACTTTTCTGAACTTATTCTTTAAAATCTGTATCCCTGTTGTTTGTGGCCACTGAAGTCTCTGCTCCCAGTTACCTTGGTTGATAACGAATGGTCATACAGAGATTTCCGTAGATGCCGATACCCAGTAAGTCTCCTGTTTTCTTTGGTGGGCTCTGTGCACATGTTGGGGGGTGGGGTGCCTTCAGCACTCAGCAGACAGTTGGCAAATCTGCTTTAGCCTTCACTTCCTGCTGGTGCAGAGTTTTAAGTTCAGTTAGAGGTGAGAACTTAGTGTCTTCTCAGGTCTTTCCTGAGCACGTGGACTGCCCTGGACACACTCTCAGTCTTACACATGAGCATGGCTTCCTAGATCCCCAGAAATAGGTTGCAGCTTTTCGGTGCCCTCTGTGGACGTGTCATTCCTCAGCTTTCCCTTTTAATCTTTTTGGTTAGCCTATTGTTTGCTTCAGTTGTTTGCTGCTGCCTCTGACTATTGCCTCTGAATTTTTTAATTTTATGAATGCTGTCAGGGAAAACATTGTTCACATTGGGTGGGTTCTGAATCAGGTCACCTAAAGGCAGTCTTGTGAGTAGGGTCTTCCAGGAAACCACTGGACAGGTCAGATAATGATGGTTCCTTGGGAATGGGGCTTTGAAGTTGCTCCAACCCTATTCTGCCCTCTCCAGTGGCTGCCAGGCTACTGATTTTCACTATGACTGTGGTCTCTTGGTTCACAAGACAACCGTGGAGTTGGGGTGGGGAGAGGACTAGGGCAAATTAAAATGCAAAGAAACCCCTCGCTCTTCTTATTGAGATTCAGCCATTTTTCTTGAATAAATGCTACCTAGATTGCCTTTGAGTTCTGAAAAAGTTGATTCAGACCAGTTTTGCCAGTGTTCTTGTTGCTTTTGTAAAGACAACTTCCAGAGGTCCTTATTTTTGCATTTTTGCTGATTCCCTCCATCTTCTACTTCTACCATGAATTTAGCACAGAATTGACTTACGTTGTCATGATAAATTAATATTTATATTATTTCCTTAATTCAAAATTTAGAGGACTTGTATCCTCCATTATAAGCTTGATAGTTTCCCAATACTTCAAAATTGTTTTGATAAGATCAGTAGTAATATTAATGAATGTCATTTTAAAAAATATTGTATATTGAACCATATTGATATTTGGAAGATCTCATGAACTAAGTTTTTCCAAATGCCCAATACATGATGTTACAAAACCATACATGGGCAAAAGATACAAGTAAAATGCAACATTGACCAATGGATTTTATGGAACAAGTATGAAAACTTCATTGATATGGTTTCAGATTCCACATTGAAGCTAATCTCTGAGTAGTATCAAAGAGATCACATGTGATCATATAAAAAGACCTTTAAAATACTCCTTCCTTTCCCAACTACATACCTGTGTGAGGCCATATTTTCCCCACATACTTCAACCCAAGCAATATATTACATCACATTGTATACAGAAACAGATACAAAAATCCAGCTCTCTTCCATTAAGCCACAAGCTGTATGAAAAAGAAAAAGTAAAGTAATCCCACTCTTCCAATTTTACTTTGTTCTGGAAAAATATAGGTATTTTTCATAAAAATATTTTATTTATGCCAGTATATAATGAGTTAAATTTTATTTTTGGAGGAATAAATGAATGTTTTATATTTTTCTTAGTTTTAATTTAAATATGATGAACACTGATGTATATAACCCCCATAAACAAAAGTTCTTTGAGTCCTCAGTTATTTTTGAGGCTTTAAAGGGGTTCTGCCCCCAAAGTGTTTGTGAACCTCTTTTAGACCAATCCAGGGTGTTCAAGTACAGAAGAAGCCCCAAGTACTTAGTGTCATAGCATCCCTTTTTCTCTGATACAGAAATGATTAACTTAGAAAGAGCCTAGGGTATTCAGGCAAGATTTTCACAGCAAAGTGGAAGGATGCTGATGCTCCTTCAGCCTAAAGGAGAGGTGTGCAAGGAGAGACTGCAATTAGTTGTTCAGGGAGTTTCGGCCGGGATGGTTTTGCATTCCTGTCAAATCACTGTGGGGCACTCAGGTCACTCTGCCAGCATCTTGCAAAGATGCTACACCCCAAACTTATATTCATATCATTTCCGTGGTTCCCAAGAAAGTCCCTTTTCGAACTTCCTTTGCCTTTCTGGACTGCATCATACAACTTGGCAGAGAACTGACATACAACATTGAGAAATTTATAATATCTGCCTCTGGAGATTTTTAGTCCTTTTAGGGCTGGACATGATGCCTCCCCCATCTCCTTGAGTCACCTTCAGCTCTTCCCATCGTATTAGTACAACTCTTGTCAGTTGACCCATCAGGATGAAAACTTAGGACAGAAATGCTTTATTTGCCAATATGATCTCTTCCTACACCCTGTCACTTCTGTTCCCAAAAGTTTACTTCCTAACAGGGTACCCCGAGCCAGACAGCAGTCAGAAGCTCTGGTTTCCTATCCTAGCTCCGCCACTTGTTGACCTCGTCAGTTTGGGGAAAGGACTCGTCTGAGCCCCAGTTTTGCATACAGGGAGCAGCTGGCATGCTGTTTAATAGAGGAGGTGTTCAACAAAGGCTGAGTTCCTTGCTCGATTTTCTCCACCTCCTTGTGAGGATGCTTAGAGATAATTATCTGGGACGTGCCAACCGCAAACCATAAATCTCTCAAAGGCATTCATTAGCCAATGAGAAGTTAATTATACTTAATCCAGCTCCCTTTCCTCCCTAGTGTCCTCGGGAGGACTTGGAAATCTTATATCAGCTAGAACACATGTTCCCCCAAATCCCATATTACTAAACACATTCCCCTATCTTCTAATTTAGTCATTCAGAAGTTAAATATACCTAGTCCATTATTTACTCCATAGTTTTCTAAAATTTGTTTTGTTTTCCCTCTTCAATTCTTGAGAATCCTCTCTGTTCCCTCCTTTGTCTCTTTATTACCTTGTCCTTTGTGCCTCTTGGGTTTGGTTTCTTCTCTTCCTTTCTCTTCTTGCACACAAGTCATAGTGACTTCAGGGTGGCTGGTTTGTTCAGCAGAGGGACCATGACCTGGATAAATCAGAAAATCAGAGTTACGTGGGATTTTCCAGTAGCCCATGGTGCTGTTTTATGTCCCTTGTAAGCTGTTAACTGAGGCCAAATCTCCAAGATCTAATCAGAAAGAGGCATAAAGGGAGTGACATGAGCAATAAGAAACTCAAGCAAAGGTCACGTCCTCTCCACACCTCCCTCAGCTTTAACTAAAGAGACCTAAGCTAATTCATGACGATGAGGGTGAGGATGTCTCCGAGGGTGGGCCAAGGACGATTTGTAGCAGACTGTGTTTGGGAACTTTAAAAGCAAATTCTTAGGCCCTTTAACCGCAGATTCTGATTCAAGAATTTTGAATGGAGTTTCTTGATTCTTCTCCATAATTCTTGGGAAACAGAGGCAACCTGGTCTTAGCACTGCTTCATTTTTTTAAAAAATTGAGTTGTATTTGACATACTACATTGTGTAAGTTGAAGGTGTACAGTATATTGATTTGACACATGTATATTGCAGTAAGACTGTCCTATCAGCCTTAGCTAATACCTTGATCACATCACGTAATAATAATTTTAGCACTTCCACATCCTTATAGAGGACATGTGGCATAAAGTTTCTGCTTTGCAAAGTCCCTTCACATTGATTTTGTCATTTGAACCTTGTGAAACAGACAGGAGCAGGTACTGTTTCCCCCAGAAAGTTGCCCTAAATGTTAGTCTCCCTGTGCTGTTGGCCAAGGCAAATCCACTTATCAGCTGTGGGTCCGGCTTGGCCAGCCTCCACCACACCTACCAATTACCAACAAAACAAGGTATTAATGAAATTGGAATTAGTCTATGATTTCTGAAAATGAGGTCTACATGAGCGGGCACTCAACGATTGAGGGCTTACGAGCACATATGAGCTCAGCAAGCAAAGAGGTCCGTGCGGTAAGGAAGAGAGAGGATCAGGAAGACTGTGTCCCGTTGCTGTGAGCATCTAATGCTAACCCTCCTGGGTTAGATATTTGTGTACCTTTTACACACATCAGTCAGTAAAGATCTGAGCAGCCTCTTTAAGTCTGAGTTAGACCCTCAGCTCCTGCCTTCTGTGAGATCCTTTTTTTTCCCTTGATGGAGGTACTGGGGATTGAACCCAGGACCTCGTGCATGCTGAGCATGAGCGCTACCACTGAGCTATTACCCTTCCCCACAACTCCCACCTTCTGAAAATGGTTGACTTCTGAGCTGTATGATACACAGAGTGAGATCAGCAGTGCTACAACCACAGTGGGGTCAAATGAGATAAGTAAGAGTGCAAATCATGAAGCAAGGATAACAAGACTTTATTGGGACTGTAGACCCTGGAGCAGGGTCCAAGTGGGAAAGGTCAGCAAAGCAGGTCAGGCTCCAGGCACTGTGTGGCTCCAGTCAATAAAGAGAGGGGCGGCAGAGCACCGTCTCTCCTGGAGTAGGGAGAGCAGGCTTGGCGTGATCCAGGATTCAGTTTCTTCCCTGCTGGGCCAAAGCCGAACACTTGGCTTGGTCTTGGTTAGGCTGGCATGTGGGTGTGGGCTTCCAGCCAGAGGGATTCAAGGCTGTGGTTTAAACTTTATAGTCATGTTAAATTACAGAGGAAACTGCACCGTTCTTCATACACATAATCCTGGTATGGTATCTTTACAGCCTCCTGGCAGGAACCATGCCTTCTTAGCATGGTCTAAAAAATGGGAGTCATTGATCATGCTTTTCCACTATAGGACTTGGAATACTTCAGTTATTTGTGTGCAGTGCCTCACTCCAGAAAATAATGCTTTTTCAAATTCCCATAACATAAAAAGTGACTTAAAATAAAAGGAGAGAAGAAGAAGCTAGAATATAAAATGTTTTCCCATTCATCTAAGTAACTCTCAGCATTTTCAGTTTGGGGTAAGATTGTGGAAAGTCTGAAGGGAGAATGCTGAGCATCCTGGCCAGTTGTCTCTGACCACAAACCCCTTCCCAGGGAGACCACAGGTTTCCCTGAGCACAGTAAAAGCATAGACATTTTCTGTATGTGTCACGATGTAAGAAAACACAGGCATGCCCATCCAAATGCGGCAAACTTACCTGTGTCTGCTCTTCATCCTAGCTGTACCCAGAATGACGCTGCTGTTTATCAAATATCTGCTAAAAACTGTTTTGGGATGATCTGCTGTTCTGCTTCCATTGAAGTTGAGTGCTCGTCGGAGAATCTACAACTCCCTCCTAACCCGAAAGGTGAAGGAGTCACAGGTTGGACACATGAAACAGAGACATATGAGCAGGAGAGCACAAATCAAACTGATGAGAAAGAGCATCCTTATAAGGAAGAAGAAAGTATTGCCTCGGGCACTCCCATGCCCGCTGACTCCCCCTCCTCCATGTTCAACGGTTTGTGCTCATTGCAGTCATTGGCCAATGATGACATAGGTGCATCCAGTTCTGAAAATCCCTTGGATGTTAAAGACGCGAGGCAAACTGCAGAGGCTTGTGATCCAAATAAAACAGAGGAAACTGCAGATGGGTGGCTTTTTCCTAAGTCAAGTCATATTCCCGATAAACAAGATGTGTTTTGCCACGGGACAGTGCATTCCAAAGTATCAAGGTTAATGGATGGTGCCTTAGACAATGATGGCCCTAAGGATGAAGCCTTAAACTCTAGTCACCAAAATCCCCAAACCCAGAAGTACATCAGCTTCAGCGTCCCACTGACGGAGGCCACGCCCTCCGCTTCCCCAGGTGACAGGGCCACCATCCGCAAGCCAGTCAGCCCACCGGTTTCCAGCACCGACTCTGACAGTGATTATGAACTTTGCCCAGAGATAACCCTAACCTACACCGAGGCATTTTCAGATGATGACCTGGAGTATCTGGAATGTTCCGATGTTATGACAGATTACTCTAATGCCGTTTGGCAAAGGAACCTACAGGGGACTGGGCATGTTTTTTTATTAGAAAGCGATGACGAAGACGTGGAATTCAGTGAGTGTGGCCTGGGTGGGTGTGAGCATCTCCTCAGTGAAATGGGTTGTGGGCCTCGGGTGTCGGGTAACACCCGGCCTATGGATGCCACCGCTGGCCTCTGCGGTTATCACTCACCACCCCAAGAAGTGGGGGTGAGGAGCAGCCGAGCCTGCACACACAGTGCCTCACCCCTGCAAACAGGGATGACTCTGATTCTGGGACCTCACCAGGATGGGACGGCGACGGTGACCGACCAGGGCAGATATAAACCTCCCTCTGCTCCGGAGGCTGCTGAAAATGGTTATCCAGGAATTCAGGGAGAAACCAGAGACAACTGCCACGCAGGAGAGGAATTCTCCGGTGACAATCTGCTAAACGTGGACAAAGCAGTGACAGGGAGAGAGAGGGAGCGCTCATCGGGTGAGTTAGGAAAATCAGGGATGAACCAGTGTTTGGAGACCGTGGCCGAGAGAACAGCAGAGGGGAAAGACTTACTGAGCAGGAGGGGCTCAGAGAAATCTGCCAGGGTGAGGCGACCAGGGATCAAGGGGAAACCCAGGAAGCTGAGCCCCAGCCTGGGAGAGAGTGCAACAGAAGCCCCTCCTCATTGCCTCTATCCCAAAGGACTTGTTAAGCACACACTAACCCCGAGTGATAAAAGAGACAGCTCCTGTGCCAGAGCAGAGGCTGCTGCCCTGAATCCCCAGATCCATGCAGAAGGATGTGTTCTTCCAACCCAAGCAGAGCAAGAAGCAAAACCCCTGCAGACTCCACCAGGCTCACTCTCCAAACGAGGGAAGTTGGACTTCCAGGCAGAAGGGGTGTGGGTTAAAAAAGTGTTTGAAACAAGCCAGGTTCCAGGCTGCAGTGATCATCCTCAGGTAAGACTTCTCTTTTTAAAAAATTACAAGCTAAAGTGTGTGTGTGTGTGTGTGTGTGTGTGTATTTCCTTTTACTTCACACTCACAATTGCTGTACCACAGTGTACATCAAAATAATTCTCCCAAAACCATCAGGGTACTTGTGAATGACAGGGGCTGCTGCTGGGAAGGAAATCTGGATTTGAAAAAAGGCCCAGATAAACCCTAAGCCATCCTAATTATAGCAAAAGACAGATAGAAGTAAGAGGCACTAATGGGATACTGGACAGCTGGAAAAAGAAATCTGATATTTTGTCTACTGCATGTGTTTTACCAGGCAATGTCACTATTCAGAAAGTTTTTCAAGCAAATGTTTTGGGTGTAGCCTTTAAAAAAAAATCAAAACATGCTTTTTAGTAATTTGGGGGGCACTTTGAAAACTGATAAATGCTGTCTTTAATCAGAATTGATAGTACAAATGGAAGATCTAAGTGTCTACAAGATTTGCAGAATTCACTTAATGATGCTAGGCAAAATAGACAAAGTAGATTTTGCTGTGCTCAAAAATCACAGTAGATTGTTGAATGAATTTCTGTTTTATTTTCTTTTTCTTAGACTACAAAGTATAAAAAAAACTGCAGGAAGTAAAACAAAAACTTTTACTCTATTTCTAATTTGGGGATATATTTGAAAGACATGGAATTAAATTAGTGGGACTAATTAATATATAAAAGACATTACGCTTGGTATATGAATTTATTGTATTTTTAATTTTAAAGGGTTCCAAATGGGCTTAGAACTGATGCTGTACTGTGGCCAAGATTTGAGTTTTGTAATGCCTAAGGACAGTTATTTATCAAGTATTTTTACTATGCCTCTGTTCTCCCTTGTTTTTGTAGAAGACTAGACGTACTCCAAAGAAAGTAAAATATTCCCCAGTGCATTCAAAGGTACTGAACTCCCTCTGTGAAAAAGTGAAAACTTAATACATTGCTTTCTAAAGATCCAGTCATAAAACAGCCAATCTAAAAAGCTCGAGATATGAGGTAGCTTTTTCCTGACCAAACTGGAAAAATTCCACTGGCCAAATTAGCCACATCAAGGCCACATTTCTACTTTACTTTTTAAGCAGGAGAGCCAGCTTCGTCCTATTTGGTTGCTTCACACACCAGTGAGTGACCACAGATTCATGCCCAGAATAAGTTTATGGAGGTGGTTTGGCCAAATAGTAGTAGACAATTAAGTTATGGTGTTAAATTTTCCATGTCAGTAAACATAGCAGTTCTTTTTCTACTCATAAAATGTTCTTCCTGGCTTAGCCAAGTGCCTTTTTACAGTTGTTTATCCATGTTGAGCATTTCATGGGGCAAATTACTTTAATTATTAAAGGTTGTGGGTTAGGTGGGGAGTGGGGTGCAAAGTGGCCTAAAAAAAGTTAGTGGAGGGGAGGGGGCTATTGACAATGTTAGTTTCAGACCCACCACTGTGGGAGGCAATTTCTAGCTCCCTCAACTGCCCCAAATTGAGAGGTGCTAAAGGAAGGAGCCCCCTTTGTCATCCTCAGCTGCACCTTAAACTAAAGTCTGAGATGGAGGGCCCTGGGGCCCAACAAGCTCACTTGTTTCCTGGCAATGCAGCGAAGTAAAACGGGCCATCTCTGGGACCAAGCTTGTCTGTCTTGCACCCACTCTTTCTCTATCAAAGTCATTAAGGGACCTCCTGCTTACACACTCACACCTTCATGGGTGCACACCCACCTCGCCAGCTATCAGCTCAAGGCTCGATCTGTGTTTAGACAGAGGCAGTTATCTCAGGACCATGAACGTGACTTTTTAAAAAGCTCGCATTCTGCAGGTAGAGTGGGGACCATTTCTCACTTTGCTATTCTCAGTAGCAGAACTGACCTCTCACTCAAGGGACATCAGTAGAAGCTGTATATTCAAGAACAGTTCTGTGCAGCCCACAGATGGAAATAGGATCTCTGTATCTGTGGCATTTATTGACCCTTGAGTAAAGCAGGAACATTTTGCCACAGGGTTAGTGGCATAGTGTGTGCACATTCTTAAACCCATGCAAAAAGTTACTCTCTAATGTAGGTGCCTGTGTTTCTTACACACGTACACAACATAGCCAAATTTACAGCAGATGGGTAAATATCATTGCAAATGTGACTCAAAAGCATTAGGGGGTCATTGGAACCATATCAAATTTTTAATAATACTGCTGAAAAAAAAAAAACCAAGATTGGTGAATCTTTCCATAATGAAGTCAAAGTCAAAAGACATTTAAAATATTTATTCTCAGACATCTGAGGCTTGGGAACTTAAAATTGGAAATGGTTAAAAAATCCTTGGTTGGGGGGGTAATATTGATAAATTTGCCCACTCTTGCCTCTTGCCTGATTCACTTACCTTTAAGGTGACCAGCAGGAGAAGCAGTGACCAGCATCTTATCTTTTACTGTTTGATCTTCATCTGTGTATTGCTTTTAGCTTTCTGAGAAAAGCTCCATTACCTCTAACCCTGCGTTGTAAGAGCAAGGCTAACATGTAGCCTGAACTATCTCCAGGAGTCCTTGCTTCCTGTCTTCCTTTCCCAGTCCTCTAAGGCCATCTTGTTCTGCTTTGTCTTGAAATAGTGCTTACCCAGGCTAGGATTGGAAAGCCCCCAATTTCTCTACATTTATGGAGGATTCCCAAATTAATCCCAGGTTGGGAGTGGAAAACAGAGAGGGTACCCCAGGCTAACTTGAATCATCTTCAAGTGTCACACCGCCAATCCTTCTCCTTGGTTCTCATCTCGCTTTCTTGATCCAACTCAGAGGCGAAGCCTGCCAGTCTGCCCATCTTAAGTTTCCCTGAAGCCATGCTGGCGTAAGATCATCCTCACTCTTAAATCAGAAGTTCTGTGTCTGTCCCTCTGCACAGCTGCCCTGCTTCGCCCCAGAGAGATTTGCGTTTCTCTTTGGGTTCCTGAGCTCTCAAGTGTACAGTGTGGAAATATATTCTTAGATTCTGATAGTTAAGAATCGTCCTGACTGCGAATCAGCACTAGGCAGAGAAGGTGAGCTCCATGGTGACAGGGGGTTTGGTCACTGTGTTTTATTCACTGGTATGTCCCAAGTCCTTGGAAGAGCACTGGCCACATAAGAGGCACTCAGTAATTGAACAAGTAAGTAGCCACTCGGCACTGAATTCCAAGTATAGGCAGGTATGAGTCTAGTAATCACTGGTCTCAACTGCTTTATGGCCTCATTGTCATAAGTCCTTTCCTTGGTCTCCTTCATACCAACTTTCCACTAGGAAATTGCCTCCCATTGCTCTTCTGGCCCTGGGAATGGATTGGTTTGTGCTGAGCCATCCACACCTTGCACTTGGCTTCCCTTGTGAATGCTGGTGATTCACATACAACCTTGACCTTATCAGCGCCTTATCAGCTCTCATAAATTGCTAACTAGATCCAGAAACATCTAACCACTTCCCCCTTAACATTCAGGACCTGTTTTCTTATTGCTTCTGTCTACGCCTGGGAGGCAAAGCAGACATACTCATGGATTTCCGTATCTGGAAAATGAAGCATTTTCTCAAACAGGGTGTGTTTCTCCCATCCTCTTCTCTGGAATGCCTTCACTTGGCTTGTTGCTACTCAGCTCACCTGAGCCTTTAAGGCCAAGGTGCAGGGTCCTTCAGATTGCACTCCCCTTGAAGTGCTTTCCTCATCCCTAACCATGATTTCTCCTTCTGGAGGAACAGCATTCGTGTCTGCTTTCTTTGTATAACACGGTGGGCTCTGGACCGGAGTTTGGTTCCTGCCCTATTGCTTTCTGAGGCTGCGCCCTGGGAAAAATTACCTATGTTCTCCCAGCCCCAGTTTCCTCTTCTACAACAGAAATAATAAAAATAACCACCACCACCACCTCACAGAGTGTTGTGCGGATTAAAGTCTTCCATGTAAAGAGCTCAGCACAGTACCTATTATGCAGTTAACATTTAATAAGTATTATCATTTTTTGGTTTATTTACCTTCTTAATACATATATCTCTTCTCATATTAAAGACTGGCTACAAGAGGTTTTAGACTTTTTTAATTGAAAATGTTGATGAGATAATTGTACATGTGCATATAGTTGTAAGAAGTAAGTCAGAGAGATCACTGTACACGTTGCCCAGTTTGCTAACATTTGGCAAAACTATAGTATAATCTTCACAACCAAGACATTGACATTGATACATCTACTGATCTTATGCAGATTCTCCCAATTTCACTTGTACTTGTACGTGTGTGTGTGTATTAAGAAATGTGTCGCCTGTGTAGGCTTGTGTGATAAATGTGGTAGGAAACTTCATGTCAATCTGAGTTCAGCCTAGTAGCTAGGCAGGCGGTGTCATAATACGGTCTATGGCAGCTTGAAATGTGTATGGCCACCCAGTGACAGGCAGGGCACATTGTAGGTCTCCAGTAAATTTCTTTTAAAGCATAGGCAAATGCAAGCAGAAAATCTAAACCTTCTTGCAATATAGTTTTTGTGTATGGGACATATCCTGAGATTTGAATTCATTTGCATAATAAAATGCTAACACTGACGCAGGAAGGCGGATAAGCTAGCTCTCTGCCGATGATGGAAAGGGCAGAAATTTATAATCACTCATCTCTCAGCACGTGTATGTCGCACCTCTTGTCAGCAACATTCCATGGCTGACCCAGGGAGTAACACAAACATTTGTTTTGTTTTTAATCACAAAGCCCACTGAGCTGCTTCTGCCAAAAGCCATTACCATCCTGGACCTGCGAGACCGTTGACTGCTCGGGCTTAGGGCAGTCATTGTGCTCAGTCGGTGTTGAAAAATCAGTGGAAGTTCATCAGTACCTCCAGCCTTGCTCCTCGCAGTGTGGTCTGCAGACCAGCTTGTCAAAATGCAGAAGCTCAAGACCCGCCCCAGTCTTGCTGAATCAGAATCTGCAATTTTAACCCAGTTCCTCGGAGATACATATGCACACTGACGTTCCCAAAGTCCTGGTCTGCAAGAGGAGCTCTTTCCCAGGTTAGAAAAGACCCTAGGGCAGTCATCTCAATCTAGCTGCACCTGGGACCTTAAACCATTCTGATGCCTGAGTACCCCCCTTCTCCACATTCTGATGTAGCTTGGTTTGCCGTGTGGCTTGGGCATTGAGGGTTTTAAAAGCTCCCAGATCTGCAGTACCTCCTTGAGAATCTTAGCTGTGCTTTAGAACCATCCCTGGTATTTTCTAAATATACGGGTGACTAACCCCCCTCCCTTTTCTGAGGTCCAGATTTTGGTGGGTCTAAGGCTTTTGGGGAGTGGGATGCAGATGTTGACCTGGGGGCTCCAGGTCCCAGCCTGGCAGAGCAGGGCTGCACAGAGCTAAAGCTTGTACCCCTCATGGGATTCTGGAGTGCCTGGCCCCTGATTTCCCGCAATCTTAGCTGAGGAAAAAAGTGCCAGATGATTCAAAACTACTTTTTAAATAGAGGCCACACATAAGTTGTTTCTGCTTTGGTGCAGTGTCTGTACTATCTCACGTTCTGCAAAAGCACACGCTTAAAAATGTCACATTTGCTGGGGAAAATAGTATTCCCCACAGGTTACTTCATAAACAAGCCATTTAAAACTAGACAAAAGCAAAAAATGTACCAGGAAGCTCCTCGGGCCGTGCAGGGAGGTGGCTCAGGTGGGCCCGTGGCCGCCGTGGCAGAGATGAAACACAAGATCACTGACTGGGGCTGCTGGTAGCCCGTCTGCTAGAGCAGCTGGAGGGGCTTGACATGAAGACCGACCTGCATCTCTGTGGGGCTGTGTGTGAAGCTGGGCCTGGGAGGCGCATCCTGCCTTCAGACAGATACCCTTGCCTGGGGTGCGCCTCTTAGGAGGGAGGAATGCGGAGTTTTAAATTTTATCAAAGTAAAACCGGAGAGGGTCCCTGCTGCCCAGGCAAAAGCTGAGTTAAATGCTATTCCCTTTCCTGCTGGAGATGCTATGAATCAGCCAGCTATTCAGGGCCCCTTTGCCTCGGAAAAGTCTCCCGTGAACCAATGCAGCATCTACATTATCCTGACGTCACCCCTGTTGACTGATCTAATGGGGCTACCTCATAGCACAGACACCCCTCCCCCAGGAGGCAGGAAGACCCCCCAACTTCTGCTCAGGTGTTCCGGGTCCTCAGGGCACCTCATCAGAGTGAGGGCCCGGATTCCTTACACTGAAGTCACCTGCTAAGATGTGTGTGTAAAAATACAGATCTCTTACACACTACTACATATAAAATAAACAACAAGGACTTACTGAATAGCACAGGGAACTATATTCAGTTTCTTGTAATAACATATAATGGAAAGGCATCGGAAAAAAAAATACATGTATATGTATAACTGAATTACTGTGCTGTACACCTGAAACTAATGTCCACTTCAATAAGAAACAAAATTTTAAAAGATAAAAATACAGATCTCTGACCCATAAAAGTCTTTTACCCCAGACTTGTATCTGCACCTTCAATGAGCTTCTCTCGGTGATTCTCACGAGCAGTAGAATTTAAGTGGAGTCTTAATTAGACCAAGACCTAGAGTGAATGCAACTGGAGGTGTTCCTGTAAAGAGCCACAGGATTTTGGGAACAACAGGAAGTTGAGAGCTTGTCAAGTGTTACCCTTTCACCCTAAGAGGAAGAAAACCTTGTGATTTCTATTTTTCTCTGCTTTCTAGTTGGCTTGCTCTAAATGCAGCTTGTACTTCACCTGTCCGACCACTGAAATAAATACAGATCCTGATTTATTGTAACTAATCCAAAACAGGTGCGCCATCTACAGCTGAGTTTTATTTTCAGGAGTAATTCGGTGACAAGAATTTGGGTGTCAGCAGTAGAGGCTGGTGAGGGTCCTTTGGCTGCGAGGGTCAGTTTTAGTCCCTGTAGCAAATCTCTCATCACTGCTGTGGGTAGGAGCTGAGTGCCAGAGACGTGCCTTACTGGTCTTTTTTTTCACTGTGACTGAAAATGGACTTGCTTCACTGAAATGGGATGGAAAAAATATTGTGCTAACCAACCTTATAGCAATACAAATGATAAAGCTGTGGTAGTCAAAACAGTATGGTGACAGCCCCAGATAGATAAATAGATAAACCAGACTGAGTAGAGAGTACAGAATCAGACCCAGGAGTATATTAGAATTTGATTTATGATAGAAATAGCCTGTCAAATTTCAGGGAAGAAACAAAATCTTCAATGTGGACACATTTCCCCATCCATATAGGGGACAAAAAATAAGACCAGTGTCTTACAGTGGACCTCAAACTCCAGCTGGATCTCTAAGTGTAATATAAAAAACCGAAATTATAAACTACTGGAAAAAATATTGGAAACTATGACCTTGAAAGACTCAAGATCTTCTTGGGATGCAAAACAACAACAACGAAAATCTTGAGAGTTTTGATTACATCAAACCAAATTTTTATGTTGCAAAAAATACCATGAATGAAATTAAATGAAATTGACACGCTGGGAAAATATGTAGAACATATGTAATAGACAAAGGTTAATTACTAACGCATATGAAGAACAAACAGATACGAAAACTACCCTTAACAGCTGAATG